TACGATCAGCCATTAATCGCGCCTCAGTGGCAGCCAAACGAGCCAATACAAGATCCGCTTTTGCGTCTAGCTCTGCACGTAATGCCTCCAAAGAAAATTTCTTCTCTTGTTGCTGTTCTGGGGAAGAGTTTGTGGGAGGCGATTCCGCATTACTCACAGAAGGAGCTGTGGAAGTAGCAACAGGTGCTGCCGCCGGAGGTTGAGGCTTTTCAGACTTCTCAAGACGCATTCGTTCCGCAACAATGGCTTTGGCTTTCAACACTTCCTCCTTGGAAGCCGCGGCCTGGATTCGTTGGAAGTATGCGAGTGCCCTACTAGCAGCATCTCGTACTTGGGCAGAGAGGCGATATTTTCGACACTAAAAAGTGGCATCAAAAACGCCAATGCTCCAGCCAATGATTGGTAGGCCCGTGAAGACTTCATCCAGAACATAATTAAATAATAACTTGAACGAATACCACGGCATGGCAGCCAGAAGGCAATTATATCAGAGAATATGGATATTAAAAACTCCCAGCCAAAGTAATAGCAATAGACTGCACTTTCAACAATAAATGGAAAATTCAAGTCTGTGAAGCTGGGGATTCGTCGTAAAAACGTTCTTTAATTTCTTGTTATCTAGTCACTCCCAAATGTTTAGGATTCGATGATGTTTAACAATGGCCTCAAATAGGAATCCGATTGGCGTTGGAGCTCATTTTTAGCACTTAAAAATGAGAAGTCCAATTTTCAACTCCTCCTGAAGCAACAATTTCCTTTGCATTGAAAGGTAACGAACATTCACTAGGCCATAAAAATAAATCCACAAATGAGCTAAAATTCCGGCAACTACTTAGTATTGTAGAAAAGCTGTCTGTGAACTTGGAGGATAATAGTTAGCGAATCGTAATCCGGTGAAATTTCTTCCGCTAATTAATAGTAGAACACACAGCGGCCAAAGCCTCTTCCCCAATTCTGCTTACTAACAGTTTTTTAATAGCTAATTGTCCTGTATTCCCTTTTTGGGAGAAACATCTACCAGCAAACTCATAAGCGTATTTCCTCAATTCCCTGATTAGGAGTTCTTATTCAATCATTGATTTGTCACTGACGTCCTTTTCACCGAGCCAGAACTTCTACCAAAATTTAATCCTTTATTCTGCTCTAAGAGCCTGCCTCTCTGTAGACAAATTTACCTTGAACACAAATAGTTTCTGTCTGAGTGATTCGCAAACTAAAAAAGGGCAATTAGAAGCAGCTGAATACTTTTTAGGCAAGTAATGTTTCCCAAAAGGTACTTGAAGTCGAAGCACCTCATGTGGCTATAAAAAAACCTACGGTTAATAAGCCAAAATTTGTCTTTAAGGTTAAATGACATCCAAATAATGCTGTTAATCCAATAGCTAGGGGGCTTTTGCATGCCTGATGCCACAATAATTCCAAGCCTTCAAACAATATTGTCAAGAAACCACACATTTTAAGAGAACAGACTGGTGGGCGCACTTTATCGATGAATATTTCCACTACTGAAGTACAAAATGATCTGCGAAAAAAGTTTTCACTACTTCAAAGTGCTGTTTTACCGATTCTAATAAATATTTACTCCACCGATTTCAGAAATTTGTGGATTAAGAGCATAAAATATCGGTTAGAGAATCTAATACCTGATTCTATAAGCGTCAGCCTACTATGCCTCAATTTAACCACGTTGGTAAGTTACATATAACATTAGATATTAGCTATAAACAAGATAGGGAAAGACAACCACATTGGCAATGGTGAGATAGTGGGTAGAAAAAGTGGGCTCCTCACCTTTTTAACACAATCCGTGAGTTCCCACACCTTAGTAAGCTGAAGCAACGAAACCTTGGTTGCACAGATACGCGCTAAGACGTCAACCGCAGCGTCAAATTTCTCATGACCTCGCACAAGATTCGACTTCAACTGGATGGTCAGATCGTGCAAAATTTGCAGTTTATCCACTCCTATTAGGAAGAGGAAAAATGACCATCTCCATCGCTGCTTATGGTAATAGGGTAGCAAGAAAAACTTGCCAGATGGTGCAACGCCACTTGACGAAGAGCTAAAAAGGAAACAATTTTAATAAATCTTATCTTCTACTTAATGTCATGGTATGCGAAAGCCTACCTAACATGTTTCGCTCTTTTCACCAATTCAACTTCACCGCTGGAGCCCCTTCTCCTAGAATTCAACAAAAAAATTCAATTTAAAATAATAAAAGTAGAAGAGGTTTCAAAGCGACAAATAAACCAACTTACTTAGTACGACTGTGCCCATCTGCAGACCCTGGAACTTTAGCCTTGTGTCTCGGACTGTTTTTCAAAGAACACCGACTGTAATTAGTAAAACAAATCATAAAAAAACCTTTCCATTAACAATTACTGAAAAAAAGGAAAAAAAGCCCACCGACTACTCTCATCTTTGCCGTCATTGTCAGGTCTCCTGTGGTCACCAATATTTTTAAAAGTGTCGGGAGACTCACTAGCCCAACTATCCAAATTTTCACTACAATAAAAAGCAGTGGATCATATCTGGGGTATGAAAAAGTAGCATTAAAATATGCAAAAAGCCTACCGAACGCGTTCGCTGTCCTCCTCACTATCACTGGCTTTCTTTCGAACTTCACCACCACTCACAAAGCTTCTGCTACAATTTAAAAATCAACCATTGTATGTAGAGTGCAATGGATGAGTAAATGATACACCGTATCGGGCAGCTTACCTAATGCAATCGCCCTCGGCACCACCTTTTCTCCGTAAGTCAAGGCTTTTCGTGCTTCGAACAACCCTGTTTTCATCCTCACTTCCCCAATTTCTACTACAATCCAAAAGGAATCGACTATATCAAAAAAAACGAAGCTGTTGGGTAGACGCAAAGGAGGCAGCTCAAGTTTGCTAAAAGCCCACCGAATACGTTCCCTATCTTCCTCGATAGCACTTTCTCCACTTTTCACGTTCTGAGCAACGGATTCCCCAAAATCATCATTTCCCGAGCTTTTGCTACAATTTAAAGACAACCCGTTATGTTTGGAAAGGTTACAACCAGTGTGAATGAGAAGTCACAAATTTGTCAAAACCCACCTAGAAGCTTCTCCTTCACTACTACTATGCCTTCGTAGCTCACTTAAATGCTTCGACACGTCCATCAGTTCATTATCCACGCTTTCATTATTTTTACTGCATGTCAAGAGTAATTAGATCAAAAATCGGTTGTATAAATGAAACAGATAAAAATTAGCCAAAAAGCCCACCAAATATATTCATCATCCCCCTCAACAACACGGTCCTGTGAGATATCACCACCCTTCAACTTGCAATCGTAGGAATCCTCATCATCACCACTTTTCGAGCTTTTACTACAATCCAGAGACAATTCGTTATAAAAAACTGCAAACTGCGCAATTGAGAAGCAGCTAAAGCTGTTACAACTCACCTAACAGTTTCTCTTTCGCTACTACTACTACTACTATGTTTTATAGGCTCGTCGACAGCCTCCGACCCACTTGCCAATTCATTTTTCATGCCTCTGTAAGCATTACTGTAATACAAAAACAGGCAAATATACCTATTGTACGAAACGACTGTACAGAAGACATTAGCATCAATACCAGCTGAAAGCTTACCAAATGACTTCTTCCTCTTCCTCCTTTTTAATATTGTACATGCTTTGTTTATCACTTTTTTTCGGTTTCTGAACGCATCCATAATCATCGTCGTCGTCAGCATAATCGTCATCCAAATCCTCCTCCTCCTCATCATCATCATCACTTCGAGAACACCTGCTACCAATTGAAAAAAAATGAAAAAGGGGATTCCCTTCAACAGTCGACGTCCTCTGCCAGATTAGAATTTATCACAGCTAGCCGATGAAGAAGCTACCTCTGGTGTGAAATGATCATGAGTATACCGACCACTTTAATCATTCTCAAAGTCACTTGGTATATACGCCAATCAGATGATTTAATACATTTAGTGGGTGTAACTAATTTTTAAAATTAAATCAAAGTCACCAAAACATTCACGCAGCTGAAGCCTGATGAGTTTTCAAACTACATTTCTGTGGACTGAGGCCAGTAAATACGCAAAAAAGGAACACTCAAGCGTGACCTTAAGGTACCTCACACATTGCAGATAGTAAATGACATTCGTAATCTTACCGAAAATATTTCTTCTCGTCTTCCGATTCGGCATCCAGATCCACAACAAATCGCCTTGGTTTTCCTTCTCGCATATTCCTCTGAGATTTTTGATTCTCAGTTGCTTCTGAATCTTGCACAATTTCTGTAATGTCGTAGTACCCCTCCTCATTGACTGAACTCAAGGCTGTCGTATCAAACGAAGTCAATTCTTGCGTCTCTTCCACATCGACATTTACAGACTCAGGGGTATTACAAGGTTCTTCACTCTGGGTGTTAACAGTATCCAGCATTACAATATTGCCAAAGACGTTCGAGGGAGCTTCAGCACTCATCACTCCTGCCATTTCTTCTGGAGATCCAAATTGATCGATTTCCGAACCAGCACCTATTATTCCGCCTTTCTCCATCAGGACGACAGCCTTCTCAGTTTCAAAGCAAGCATCTAGTTTAGCTTCCTTTACACGCTTATCGTTTTCAATTGGGTCATAACACTCAACCGCTAAGTGATGTCGCTTCCTAGCGGTCCGTTTATTTACACTTTCACTAGCTTGAAGGTTATCTTCTTCCTTTTCCTGGCGATTACTGAGCGGAGCAGATAGACATTAACTAGCAATATTTGAAAGAGCCAACTATAAATGAAGGGTAAAGAAACGCACTCTTTTTTCTCCCCCATTACTTCTGCTGCCTGAAGCGAATTTGTATCCACGGTATCACTAGTACAGTAAAGAGTAAAGTAGGTAAGTCAACAGTCCAAAATGGTGTTTAACGAGTATGCAGGCAATGTACTCACCTAATAGGAGAAATACTAATCAAGTCGTCTTCCTGATCGCCAGACCTTTGACGTTTTGCTGAATGAACACGAGGTGCCCTTGAGGCTTTACGTTTAAGTGCCCTTTTCGTGGCTGGACTATTAGAACGAGACATTCTACCACGGATGGTGTCAGCCTCTCGCTCAACTTTGCCATATTCAAGAGGATAAAGAGATTCCCAGAAGGCCTCCGCCGCAGGATCCTTGCCAAGAAGCAAAATTTCAGGATCCGACTCGATCTCTATCATAGCTTTGATGAGGACTTTACGCTTCCCATATGCGTCTTTGTGGTCGTCAAAGCTCACAAGATTCTTAGGATTTAAAAAGGACCTAAGAAATGGAGAAATTGAGATAAAAAGACGAACTTACACTTGATGAGTACCATAGAAGAAAACTGGTACTTTACCCTTCGGAAGTTCAACATGTGGCGGAAGAGGATCGACCTAGGATGAAAAATATGGAATAAACACGACAAACCCTCGCCGGCCAGAAGGGAAAACCTTTCATTTTCGCGAATACACGATCGCCTGGCTGAAACATCGAAACAACAACTATCGCGGCAAATATTTGGAATCAACACCAAGTCGCCAAAGCAGTAAAATAACCGGCGGAATCAAGTAAAACAATAATAGCAAAAAATTCAAAATCAATTAAAAATTGCTAGTTTAATAAAAATGATTATTTAGTTGACTAAATAAGCTCTTTGTGAGGCAGGAAAATAGTAATTTAAAATTTACTGGAAATCAGTAAACAAGAAGAATTCAAACATCAAAATAATGCAGTTTTAGGATTGTTTTGATGCACAATTCGAAATTTTTCACGTAAATCTGTATTTGCGAATATTTTTATTTAGCTGTTTTCAGAATCAGAATTATCAAAGTCCGAACCTTACGAAAGCAAGGATATTGTGGGTCCAGTCGTCGCTACCCATGTAAAATATATAGGAAACTGGAATACCTTTTGAGATATGATTAATTTTATATCATTACAACCTGTTTTTTTCCAAATGTTTACCAAAACCTTAACCCACGAGGAAATGAATTATACCTTTCAGTTTTTGTATCACCTATTACTAGGTAAATTGAAAATCGGAATGTCATTGTGCTTGTCTAACGTATTGAGACCTAATCGTTCATTTGCAAAAACAAAACAAACTTCAAGTGTTTGTTTTGTACAGCCTGGTTAAAGTGCGTAGCGGCATTGCAGTGTAATTAAAAGAATTTATTGAACTTTACATTCACCTAACTGGGACCATTAGCCCTCGGAGGCTGTAATCCCGTCTTTGTAGTTTGACCTCTTATTCATCACTTTCAATCGCTAGAGAAGCATCTTCCACAGGAGTATGGGTTAATATGACTTTAGGATGGACTGGAGCACTACAACTGGGGTTGGCATCAAAAAATCCGATCAGAAGGAAAAAAAGCAAATCAGAGAGTGGTACTGGATACCAAAACTAGATGTCACGAATGAATCTCTGTATCACGGGAAATCAACATGCAACACATTTCTGCCACATGGACGGCATCCCAAATCCCAGCGTAGAAGAATGAGCATGGAGGCCATCAGGGACATTTCCAAGTTACGGAGCCTGTGCCTTTATCTTGGCGGTGTGGCCGTCTATACTCTAGCGCTAAATAATAAATACGAGTTTTCCTTAGTTCTGCTTCAGAAAGGACCGGGGACGATTATGATGGCATACATAGTCACTGAAGTGCTTTTATGTCCATAAAAATGCCCGTCGAAAACCCTCTTTTCTTTATTTTTACACAGCCACTGCCACATTCCATTTATCTTCGTCCGTATAGCCTACTTTTCAACGAAAATAACGCGAACCTAGAGACTGCATCATTTGAGTCGTGGAACAACGCAGTTCCATGTATTCAAACACCGAAGTGGACCTGATTATTTCTCCCCCCTATGCTTGCCTTTACCACAGCATCCTAAATCAGCCCCAAGATGAGCGTCAGACGATTTCCACTAAGCCATCCATCCATCCATCATCCATCGTCACAAGCGTATTCATCTGTCGACCCACCTATCACGGAACCATCCAATCAGTTCAGTTCTGTCGGCTTATTCATGAAAGATCTGCCTTTACAACCTGGATCCGTCCGTTAACATTCCAATCATACTAGATCCATCACTAACATTTCCAGAGAACAAGAAGAAATAGGTGGAATGATAGCTATTGGGAAGGTTTGTACAGTCACGGGTTCACACATGTCGCCTGCCAAACGGCGATTCCATGCGCTTGCGGTTGGGATCCAAGCAGAGAAAGGCCTTGCACAAAGATGCTCCCACATTCTGGAGGATCCACGGCGATATCTGGTGCCCAACGCACGCCTCCTCATCTCTCCAACAATTTCGCGTGGTTCCACAGTAGGAGGCCTCCAGGGTGTAGCTTCTGGCGACACCAAACTGCCTCCACACCACAACACGACCTGTTGCTTCCTTCACGCGGCTGATAGAGTAGCTGGAAGGGAATAAATAGCATAGCATTCCATGTATCCAGCTATCACAGATCTGGTAATCATCTATCTTAGATCCAACCAATTAAGTTGCTCCCTGAAGACTAGAACAAGAGCATACGATAGACGTTGTGCTGCTCGAAGCTCAGCTAATCCAAGTGCATCACCATTTAACTCAACGAATTCCACAAAAAAAATTACAAAGAACACCTGTCACACATATGTGACACTAAAGGCAGATAAAAAAACCGACGCTTCACATACATGTAACGCTGGTGCTACACAGTGCTGATGAATAGGCTGATTTCCCAGATAAAATTAAGAATTCAAATAATGAAAGACTTACTCGCTAGCAGCTTTGGAAAAGGGCAGCGAAATGTTATGCATCACCTCGGCCAGTTCGAGAAAACAGCCGTCGAAACTGTCGGCGGTGACACCGAGGTAGTCGGTGGAATCTGAAGCCTTCCATGAGAGATGTGGATCACAGCCATAGACAAAGATGTCCTTCATTCGGGAGTGACCGTGCAAATCGATGTAGATCTGGAGGACAGGCGCAGAAAACTCCAAATATCAAATAGGCAACCAAAATTTCACCTATGCAGGCTCATGAATAGACCTACGTAGGGCGCACTACCCACTTCAGCCAGCAAATTAATGAGGCATTTGGTGTGGAAAATTGTCGGGTGCAAAGATTGCGAGGGATTTAACCACTGACGATTCAAGTCCTTTGCAGCCATGGAACATCGGTGACTAAAAAAGGGTAAGGGAAAAAAAGGAGAATGCACCAACAAAGGATTGGGAAAGGCCGAAATGGGGGAAAAGAAGGAGATTCTACCCACTTTCCACAGATCACTCCGTCCGGATTCAAAGAAGGCACAACCTTAAAGACGTAGGCATGACGAAGACGAACCATTTCGGGGTCACGCGGGTCAGTCAAGTGGTCTAGCAGGCCACGCATAACCCAGCTTGAATTGGATTCGCCGGGATGAACGCGCGCGGTGATAAAGATGTAGGGACGTCGGGGATCTAGAGAAATTTTGAGACAGGGAATCAAACATAATAACCCAGCACTTTTTAACTCATAAAGTAGTGAGAAATCAACTTGTCAACTAATGGCCAACCGCTTTTGGTAAAAAAACTAACTAGTGACTTTTCCAGAGCCTTCAGTGGCCTCTGTGATGGTAACCAGAGGCACCAAATTGTCCAGCAAGGTGGAAGTGAGGTTCTGCACGCGGAGGTAGAGTCTAGACGACTTAGAAGGCGATTTGGAGGCAGCATTTTGAGCACGGAGTTGCCATTGTGTCAAATCGGCGAGGAGGCGAGAGTGGGTGTAGGGGTAGTGGTAGGCGATGTAGCAAATGTCGCCGCGGTGTTGAAATCGCAGACTGAAAGTGGCGGTATAGTAATTCCGACTGTTCTCTGAAATTTTTTTAAAGCAAAAAGACGACTACCGATTTTACATAGGGAATCATAAGGCTCGGCACTCATGAACGAGACTGGCAGAGGTGATTCATCTGAGGATTCTGGAAGTAAATGGATGCTGTTGAATCATCGAGCAGGAGACGCCCGGCTTTTGTCCAAGACATCGAGATCGGAAGTCCACATTATACAATGACACTTTATTTTGAAAAATTTTATGCTGTTTGGTCACTGTTTAGGCGCGCCCTGATCACACAGACGTTTCTGGCAAAATTTTTGAACCAGATGAAAGATGAGTAGGTGAGATGTTGGACAGCCAATGAAGTGATTTAGAAGCACACAGTACAGTACGAGATCATACTACTGCAGTAAGAAATTCAATTTCCCCCTCAGAAGTGGACCTTAATCTGAACTTGATCTCAAATGCATCCAATAGGAGTCAAAGTGTATAAGGTCAATGATAATTAAGTTAAGAAAATAATCCACCAACCACAAACATGCCAGTTCATAAGTTCTAAGTACAGCCATCGCTCCACCGATTCCACGCCTCTTCGAAGTGTATCCATGAGTGATAAAATCACAAAAGTTTTCAATTCTTGGCTACTTTAGCCAATGTAACGGTGGTATAAAGAACTGCTGCATGTCAAAAACTAGGATGATGAACATCGGGGGATACACATTGGTGTTCTGAATGAGACCAAGTTTGGCTCCAATTCTCCAAAATATCAAATAAACTTCTTGCTAGGCCAGTAAACCTCTCTGATTTGGATTGAGACTGCGAAAAAGCATGGCTCCAATTGGTCCAGCAATGACAGCCAGTCAGCTGCTACTACAGAAGGAATGCATCACGAGTGTGCTCGTGTTGGAAGCAGCAAAGACCTCCATTCTGAAGGCTGCATTGCATTAGCTTCCTTGATAGGATCGTGGCACGCACTTTTGCGGTTCACAAAAGGTTTGATTCTGATTCGAATGTAACTCAAAACCATTCCGATCTCGGAGCTGAAGCCTTTACTAGAGTCAAAGATTTGATAGAATTATTCAAAGATACAAGCAAAAAGAGGGGATCAAAACAATTAACAAAAGAACAATGCAAGCATTGCTCGTGATCAGAAGCAATTAAATGAAGATGGGTGTTGGGCTTTTAAAGCAATTTGCCTCCTAAAAACTATTTAATTATGCCATGAAACCGACCAAGCATCAACAGTCTTGGTTCCAATGAACGTGAATTTGTGACCCAGCCATAAATAGCAACTTAGGCTAGTCTTGAAAGCCCTTCCAAGTAGCGACACAAATACAACTGGGGTTACTGCTGCCTCCCTCATCGCTATAGAGGAGGGATTCGAAGCAGCTTTTGTGGAACTAAATTCAGCCGTTCTCGTGAAGTGCAATCGTCAAGGAAAAAACCAGTGGGACAATGCAACGCAGTTACAATGGAAGGATTCCTTTCACCAATGTCTTTCAGAGAGGCTTTCAAGACACTTGAAACAAATTGTGCATTGGAGAAATAGCGTACAAATGAATGGGAATGTAAAAATAACTGTGATGGAGTAACTGAAACCAAACTCACTTGCACCAGATCCACTCCGCATAAAGTGATTTTTGTAGTAGTTGATACACCCACCAGCCCTGAACCAATAGGGTCGTCCATTTAGTGCCTCCGTTACGGAGAACACCACGGGTTGCATGCCTAAAAAGCACAACGGATATCCATCAATTGGCCATCCTGATCACAACATCAAAGTCTCGGGTGTTTGATCATCCTTGTAAGTAAATAATTAATAAGACTAATTTTGAATCCGAAACACCAATGACAATACATCTCGAATAGATGGAAATGAATGGAAAATGATACAAGAATGAATTCCAGGATGGATTGATGGAACAATGAACAGCTTGTACGCCTAAAGAGAAGTGTAACTCATATTTTTTTTCCCAATCTTCCGCGATTCAGTGTCTACAAATCACGATGTCTATGCTAATAATTCAGTCCCTTTATGGGCTATCACCAGACCCATGCCTTAAACAGACTTCAGAGGGGGCCCGGAATCCTCGGGAGAATGCAAAACACGGTAACACAGTGAGATAAATTTTCTTTAAAAAGGAGAAAATCTTCATATGAAGAGGCATCACACTAGAGCATCATCCAATGAGTAAGTGAGTACCCTCGTCACAGTTCGTGAAGGGAATGTGACAAGTCGACCTATTGAAATTGACTAGATCAATCACTGGGTGATCTACATTCCGGATCAATCTACCTTCGGATCGGTGTAAAATGACTTTTCTGAGGTGATACGTTTAATCAGATCAGTTAGCTACTCAGAGAAGACGAATGTTGTGAGTTGCTGGATCTATGAGAATGATAGTTGAAAGCACATCGACCTTCCGGAAAAAAAACTCAACTTCGAGGTCCCACGTCAAGGTAAAAGGAAATAAGTCCAAAAGTCCACAGAGTACAAGGCAACCACATAAGTAATAAAGGTTTTAGTATCTGCAGAATGCTTCTTTAAATACGCTAATCATTGAAAATAATTAACATTACAACCTGTTATTCTCCCCTATTTCCCATAAAACGCTCTGCCTCTCAAAGTAAACAAAACAGATCCTAATCACCTCCGCCCCTCTACCGCTTTTAATGCCCGAATGTCCCTCCTGTTTGGCGGGTGTTTATTTGATGTCCAGACAAGGCGTGACGATCACTTGGATGGTGTAAAAAATTAGGAGGAGACTATGGTGAGATCGTTCCCTCTCTCCCCTCGCCCCTCATTCTAGCCATGAACGATGGAGGAGGTGGTGATTGATTGATTCACCACCAATTTCAAAATACCACATCCCAACTTGTACGAAGCCAAGTTGGTTCGTGAGGCAGACAGGCTCGAGGCACATCCACCAGGTTAAATCAACACACGGTGATGTGTGTAAAAGTACCAGGAAAATAGTGCAGGGGATAATAAAAAGTTCCACACTAATAAACTGACGCATACGAGCTTGTCAAGCTGCAACAAAACGTCACCGGATAAAATCGGCTGTCAGTAACAAAAATTCCACTATTTCTGCAAAAGACTTGCGAGAATCTACTACCTCCGTGGGTTTAAAAGAGTTGAGATTATGTGCTGAAGCAGCACGGACATTAGACGTTTAAAGGTCAATCAATCGACTGCTCATCCTCCCCAGGTTGATGCTATATGGATGGATGATTATCTGATTGAGTGGATAGTTGAATGCTTGGAGGAAGAGGCGCTTAAAATGATGGATGACTAGCTGAATGGGTGGTTGGACGAGGCAACTAATCAACTCACCTCCACTGTACTGACTACCTGCCTTCTCTAAGTTGATAATATTGAAGCGGTACCGCACCATACTGTCTACATTGGCCACACGAAAGTAGAACCATTGGACATGCGAGCACGTGTTGAGGTCGGGCGAGAGGAGGAGATCGTACTCCGTCTGTCGCACCTGAATGACCTTCCGCAGATTGCCGCTCTCGAAGCGCGACTCAAATTGTAAGTGACCCAGATCAGCGTCAAATTTTCCCAGTCTTGAAGAGGAAGAAGAAGAATAGAATGCTTTTTCTTCATCATCTACTTTACTTTTCCGGATAAGCCACTTGTTAGCATCAAAACGGAAAGAATGAAATCAGGACAAAACTTAGACTTGCCATGTATTTCACCAAACTTATGACGGTTTATAGTAATGCTCCTAAGGATGACGATTCAAAATCGAAATTTAACCAATGTGGAACATCATCAAACTGAGATAAATACCTCCAAAATCAATCGTTTCAATGCATTTTATTAACAGTGGAATGCTATGCCTGTTCTGAAGATGTACCACCCATCTTTACCGGTGGATGATCGTCGTGTAACCTTCAATTCCACACAGATGTGATGACTGGAGCTGAGGTAAAAAAGGAAGGAGGGCCATGGACGACACCACTGAGATTTAGTCTTTGGGTCATTTTTTCTGGCCTTTGGTAAATCAAAAATAAAAGACCACCAGGCTTGTGTGTCATACTGTGCCTTTAAAGGTAATCCGAGATTTGCATCGATACAAGTGCAATGAGATGCACAGTTTAAGGAAGGTTCATGTCCAATCAAATTCCTAGATTAATATACGAGAAAGGTACCCACTGCAGATAGCTAAATCTGTGCAAATTTAGCTATTAGAGGTGAAATATTTGACAGCTTTACAGTATTACCAATCACGAAGTATGAACAGAATCATGCAAGAGCACAATCCCAAGACCTGATCCGTGTAGATACCTGGAAAGTATGAGAAATAACAACAAAGTGAGGCTTATGCCGAGGCTTCAAAAAGCCACGTCTAGCGGTTGACGCATGAAATGCACCCACTACGGCCCAGCATCCGACCTTAAGTATCGCTTCCCGAATAACACAGAATGGGAAAGGTGAATTTCATCAAAAGATGCACATCTACTGTTAAGTCGTGGCATTTCTTTGACAAAACGCATCCTTCCAGCTTCCCACAATTTGGCTGATGGATGGAAAAGACTGGCAAAGCCGCGTCGACCTTTGGCAAGTCCTTCAATCTTGGGCTTTGAATCCCTCCGCATGTAAAAAATCGAAGTATACGAAGTATTTCAACGTTAAAATGGCCCTAAGATACGCCGGACAAACGCCTGGATAGCATCAAAGAGGCACCGAAACGAAAAGGAGAAATGGAATTCACGAGCAACGCGGATGAGTTTCGCTTTTGGACAAATATTCCCATGACATAGCAGTTGGTGCCACAAAATGTTCTCGATGCAAAAAAAACGTTTAATGTTGAAGTGGTTGGCAAACAAGGCCTTAGCAATGAAACCCTGTCAAAATCTATGAGATGGATTACAATAGTTGAAGTAGGCAATTCTGAAGCAGTGATGGAGAATTATCGTGGGACCCTCATTCCTATCTACCGTGTAGGCTCAAGCCAATCAAATACTTTTGTGAAAAGACATCCAGAGGAGTACCCATGAAGAGGATGCCAGAAATGATGATCAAAACAAGGCGAGCATCAAGATTAGAATAGGCGTAGAGTTCCAAGTTAAAAGAGGGAATAAATACATAGCGCAGCTTTGTTAGGTTGTCAGATTGTGTATTTCAATGAACCGTTTATGCTATTAGGTAACCGTTTTCACTTAAAGGCGTCGACACAAGAAATGTTTTTCGTGTGCAAAAAAAGAACCCGAAGTAGCATAATGCTGAACAACTCGCATGGCAATGGGACTAAACGCGGCTATAAAATGCGAAGAGCTTTTAAACATCTATGATATGCATAAATGGAATGGAATTACACATGCAATTCGAAACAGGAAATGATTTGAGGGATATATGCCGAAAGAATTTAGAGGTGTCAAGACTGGCCCAGTTGAAATGATTTGCAAAGAAAATGAGAGAGAGAATGAAAAACGAGATAGGTGGAACTGTCACACAGCCAGTAGAAAAAGATGAATGAATGAATTAAGAGGCGGATGGATGGGTCTAGGACGAATTTATGAACAGAAGACCCAAAATAGAAAAAAAACTTGGGATAGGAAGGAGTTAAAAGGTCTAGGGAGGTAGATGAATTAAAAGCGTGTGAATGGGTGAATTCAGAATACGCAGTTAAATGCATGAAATTAAACAAAAAAATGACTAGAAATACGAGTAGGTGAATAGTTGCATAGACATTAATGGACCCATGAAAAATGATTACCAAGTCCACGGATAGTGGTGTGAACGTAGAGTTACAATCTACAAACAAATAATGGATAAACAAATGGGTAGATCTGGAGTGGACACTTGGATGAATTGTTCAAGGAATAAGCATGTAAAGTCTAAAGTGACAATTGTGCCAATAACAGCTTAAATGAATGGACGCGTGGAACTAAATCAGATAGAGGGATAGACGAATGGATAACCCAAAAGACAAAGTCAACTCACAAAAGCTCATCCGAATTACTCAACACACTTCCAGTTCGCGCCTCCACGCCTCGTTCCTGGGTTATCAATTCGTCTAAATCAAAGACCACCCGCTCGATCAAGTCCTCGCTGTCCACTACCCTCCTCACATCATCCAGTGACAAAGGAATCACGAAATTCGAAATCACTGAGCCTAAAATTATCAAAAGCACAAAAATTCGAGATTCATGAAAGTCATAGACAGTAAGGGAAGGGTGAAGGGAGCACAAGTCTAATCCAGTTAATAAAAAAAATTCGAAATTTTATGACTTATTGCGTTTCCTGGTGATGATTCGATCAGACATACTACGGATGGAATGCCTGTAGAGTGAGATGGGAGCCACCACGACAAAGAGCTTCGATGGCCGACGTGTTTTGCTGTTAAGCGGCAGACTTAACACCTTCTTTCATCAACACTATTTTATATATGCGCTGCCCGCCATCTTGATTAACGGCGTCTGGACTGGATTGAGTCATGCACGAAGTACATGTCGGCCGTTTCAGGTAGTGATAGAACACACGTTATTGCTGTCTGAAGGACCGCCATCTTATTATTCAAAAGTCCCAGTCTGGCATTAGTTCCTAACCTGATTCCGCTTGTACCGCATCAGGCGCATCTCCATGGGAGAAAGGTGGAACCAATGTCTGATTGTGGAGGCGGGGGGAGTGAAGAGGTTCACAAAAGTCAGGACCAGTGGCATTAATAAGATCTGGGTAAGCGACCATCTTCTCAGCTTGACGTAGAGCATAGTCCAGAGCGCTGCGGACGTTGCGGGCCGCGATGAGGTAGCGAGATGGTGTCGAAGTGGCTTCCCGGGCAGCTGATATCATTTCTACAAAAGAGTGACGAGGTTTGAGGTAATTAAAAAGCCTTCAGATTTTGCATGCAACTTGTAAAAAAATTGCAATCAAGACAATTAAAAAGGGCTAGTAGAAACTGATATCAAGGCATCAAAGCATGGACGTATATCCACAAGGATCTACTTTGACAACGAGGTGTCTACTTAGGCCGGGAAATCAAGAGGTTTTGACGGGCAGACACACACCTTTTGTGCCACTTTTAAACAAAAGTTTGTTGTCAATGTAAATGGACTTCTGTAACACAGACTAAGTGTATTCCCATGAACATTAACGGTGACAAAAACATTGCTAACTGACAGTACACAACCTGGAATCTGCACTCCGGTTCCATTGAGGACCAAAAGCAAAAGTCGGATAAGGTAAATCACCTCCCGGGTTGTGTGAATGCATCAAAAAGAGTAAGCAAACCTTCGTAAAGATTGTCTTTTGACGATTCTGCCGTGCTTTCTTTCATCGGTGGCACGAGATAATCTACAAGTCCCGGGAGCTCTGTCCACTCTGGGAAGAAGCTTCCATGACTTTCCATAAGCTCCGCGAGTCCAAACAAACTCGGTGCCAAACCGACGTCTTCCAATCCATCAGCCATGTCAGGAGTCGCGCAAGCGCTACTCGAATCCTCCTCCTCACAGCGTCTATCATCCTCCAGATCGGCTTCCACCGCGGCGACCACTTCGTCATCTTCGACGTCGGGTTCAACTCCTTCTTCGTCGTCATCCTCGTTGTTAGCGGATTCCTGAATTTTCTCAGGGCGGCGTGACGAGCGAATGGATTTAAGGGGACTATCAAATGATGGGGCGGGCACCTTTTGCAGGGATTTTGCTCTGAAACGCTAAAAGGGATGAGTAAGAATTTAGACGAACATTCAGATCGACAAATAAAGTCCCTCTTATGCAGATTTTAGGGTCAATTTTTATGTCAACCGTCGAAATAGTGGAGGAAGATTTAGAATTAGAGTCTTCCCTATCGTTAACTTCAAAGGAGCTTTAAGTGGTCAGAATTTACCAGCCCCTTCCATCTTCAATCAAATGAATAGATACAAGAATCGTCAAGTATTTCATCCTGAACTGAGTAAAAATTTACGTGACACGTGCTTTTTGACAACTTTAAATGGAACGTATCTCCTGTGGGCTGTGATGGTCAATTTTCCTCGGAGATAGATCCTGGTAAAGATCATACCAAATTAAGAAGCGGAGCTTTGCTGACCATTCGAAAAAGAACTTTCTCACCTTTACAACTTTCTTAGTTTGGCCTCCAGCATTGCCAGAAACATTGGTATCCCAAAAGAGCAAATCACCGGCTGAAGAAGAATGTCCAATTTCTAATACATCCACCAAACCCTCCAAACGCAATGCGGCAAGGGTGGACTCCAGTTGTGCTTTGGAGGGCGAAGATTGTTCATGAGCTGGCTGGAAGATTCAACATGTCGTGGAGTACGCAGAGGAAGGAAGCTGATTAGGTAGAGATGTCGTAACTTACAGCGACCATACCAGTGGAAGAACAAGAGACGCCTGGTAGTAGATCGCCAGCTAGTGGAGAGACGGTGATTGGATTGTTGACGGATTTACGCTCGACGGAATCGCGAAGTAACGTCTTATGACGCTTTTTGTTCTTCTTTGAGCAAAGGGTAACCTTTGTAGAAAATTTAGGACCTGGTTTACCGAACTCCGGCGCAACGCGATTGGAACCTATTGGGAAAAAAGGAGACAAAAACCAAACCAGCTCCAAAGACAATTTTTAATGAAACAATGAGCAAAGTCTACCTGTCAAATCGGTTCAGTGGAACGTGAAAATCCGATTTAAATGTAGTTAGTGAATTTAAGAATATTTGCAATGCCTAGTCAATTTTCACCTCAAAGTGACCTGCATTTATCAAATGATTGAAAAATTATTATCTAAATCTTCAGTTCACCCGCCGATTCCAACAAGAATCTGGGGACTTAGAAGGTATTTCAACATCGAAATAAGTGCACCTCTTCTAGCCAAAGCTCCACTCAATAATGAGACCAAAATTTGCAGGGGCAAAAGCAGAAATAATCATAAGACTTCCAACAGTTTCCTTTGTTAAACGTGATTCGGCTTCAAAAAATGCAAAGTAAGGAAAGCAAAGTGCCCATTTAACACGTTTTAGACATCCTGACACCATAAATGACGTGATCTGAAAATTCAGGCAGCCAGGTTGGAGAATCAATGCCGTGTGGATCTCGATATTACCACCTTCAACACGCAAACAAGTGGACAGCCAACAAACGAAACACGTGCTAACCAGAAGACTTTGAATTTCTGTTGATGTTGGGCACTTGCTGGCAGCTTTTACTACGTCGCGGCCTCACTTGATGATGTGGTGTCTCGTTGGGCGCTTCACATTCAACAACTTCGCCCTCTTCACCAGGCAAAGGGGGCTTCAAGGTGGCAGCCCTAAGTAGAGCGAATGGAGGGATATTGTTCTCAAGAAGCTGTCTAAACTTCCAATGGGAAAGGGGAAAAATAAAAAAAAAAACACCAAGAACACAAAGGTATATTCAGGTGAAATAACGGCCGACGGTAAATTAACCTGAATTTTGACTGAGATAGGTAAAGGAAATTCTTTGGACTTTCAGCCTATCTTCCAAAGGTTTTTCATAAAGGTCATGGGAAAGACTAAACAACGATCGACTAATGGCTAAATCAGGTCATCCAGTAAGTTAAAATCAAAATGAAAGAACAAGGGGCCCTGCAAAGTAGCTACAACGTTTCTGGGTATTTTTACCATCCCAGAAAGACATTTCTGCTCAATTTTATAGAAACTTGTGCTGGTTGCCTTTTACACGTGTCGAGGTTCGAGCTCCAATTGAGTACCTTCTGATTAACCAATATAAAGTGGTAATAGCCTTTGTGTGTGCCAAGGTCAATGTCATTCAAAATGACAAAAATGACCAAGGATGGTGACCGTCCGTGTGATTAAGCACACAAAACACGGCAGAGACGTACGCAAATATCGCATCACGGGTGTACTCATGTCGGAAGACCTCCGCCCTAAAGCCTTCACCTTACTAACCTTCTGGCTGGGATTACGACATGCACTTACGCTGAACTCAAAACCATTCCAATTTCGGAGCTGAAGCCTTTACGAGAGTTAAAGATGGGATAGATTTATTTGAAGATGAAGGCAAAAAGGAGTAACTTGAAAAAATCAACAAAAAACAATGCAAGCACTGCTCGTAATCAAAAGAGATGAAATGGAGATGGATGATGGCTTTTTGAAACAATTTCGCTTCCAAAACTCATTTAATTATATCATGAAACGGACCAACAATAGTGGTTCCAATGTAAGCAAATTTGTGACCCAGCCATGAAAGGCAACTCAGGTTAGTCTTGGAAGCCCTTCTAGGTAGCGACACAAATACGACACATGGGTAGCGGGGATTACCCTTGCCTTCCTTGTCAATATGTTAGAGATTTGAGCTAGCATTTGTAAAACTAAATTTAATCGTTCCCATGAAGTGCAATCGTCAAGGAAAACCAATGAAACAATGCAACGAAGTTATGAAGGTGAAAGCAGAGACAACGTTTACTTGGCAATCCTCTGTGATTTACCTAAAAATAGCAAAATATACTAATTCAAGTGGGGCATTACCAAAATTCGTTGCATCATCGAGAATGTATTGCTTAAATATCTTTCCATAAACAGTTTACCAGAATAAGTATCGCAGTTAAGTTCCCAAAATTTAATCGCGGATTGCCAACTTGATAAAACGAACCGTCAATTCAAAGTGGGATTCAACATCAATCGGTCATCCATCCATCAATCTACTGATCTCTACGTTACATGGTAACCAGTTCTAGGATTGAAAAATTAAAATCAACTATTTTCGTTCCTCTGTCCTGACATCGAGAATGAAAAGATCAAGATTAGCAGAAAGTGAAGGACTCAAAGTATTGCACTCTAGGACATAGGCAGACCCAACAGGCAATTCCATATTTTCCGAAGCCTCGACACAAACTACTGAAGTTCGGTTTTCGTGAATGGATTCAAAGGTTCCTCTTTTATTCTTGATAGTTGGCCCCAGAGTCAGCTGGACGTCCGAAGAATCCCGAATCCATCACGCCGGCGTTATAAGTATTTTCGAATTTTCCAATTTGCTTGCAGACGACGACGACTTCTTTCTTTATCCTTGTGACATCTGGAGCATTGTATGAAACTGCTCCTTCCTCCTCGGTGAAATTTGCGCAAGGTTTTTTAGTCATCTTTGCCTCGGAAAGTGATAATTCTTGTTTGCAAAACCCAAGGATAGTTGGCTCACCAGACCGGGGCAGCCACATTACGCGCCCAGGCATGAAATTCCTTTGTTTGATAAGTGAAGCGATATGAGATGGGGTGATTTGCAAACAAGGGTCATTTCAAAATTCAACTTTAACATCATTTAATCATAGAAAGCAAAATTAAGCGTGCAAAAAGAAACCAAACTGACCCTCATTGTTGAAAATAATCCTCAGAATAGGTTCAGCCGGGTGGATCGGAAGTGGAGCGTATGGACAACATCGACGCAGAAGGTCACAAGCCCCGTTCAACACCAATTCCAGGTGGCGCTCCTGAAACTGCTCTAGTCCCCTCTCTTCACCTGTCGTTGCTAATGACAACGTCGAACGTGAAGAAGAAGGAGACGAGGAAGACGACATTGACGCCGAGGATGAGGCAAGGGAGGCAGCAGACGGTATTGGCAAAGTCTCTTGCTGGCGACTCACGGTTTTTGATTCAGTTTTTGATGCTATTAACGATGGTGTTGAAGGCACTTTGATATTCATTTTACTAGCGCAAAGCGAGAATAGGGCAAAAAGGCCACCAGCGGAGACAATAGCACGTCTTCCGGCCCCTGTGAAAAGAAAAGACCATTAAGTATGGAACCCTCGACAGTGAAATTACGTTCGAGTCAAAAGGTAAATAACAAGTGTATCCCTTTGTGATCATTGGTAGCCAGCGCACTTATCGCGCGTGGGCCAGGTCAGTCCAATCTAAGCACCGTTACATCAAGACGGGAGGTTACGGTAGTAACGAGTGGATGCAGAGAACAGCAAATCTGCGGAGATTGACTTGCAGAGACCACTTTAGGTGTAGTGCCTAGCCTCTCAGGGTTAGGACATTTGTTTGAGTGATGGTAGCCTTTCAAAGACGGTCGTGTACATGTCAGTGACGGTCTAGGTCGTGAAAGTCTCCATCCCACAACCAGGGAGGTGATGGATGCCTATTCGAGACACAGCCTGTCCTGTAAAGATATTACACGGCAAACAAGTATTCCTTTTGGGGAAACAGTCAACATAATCGTTCACGACGTTAGCGTACCGTAGATGCCCTAGCATGGTTAACACATTATATTTGCGGCAGCGCACCAAGCAAGCCTGATTCAACAACAACGATTCTGATTTGAATTATGTAAAAAAACTATGGAAAAATGGATAGTCAAACATGTGAAGATGCATAGTGAGGAGACTATAAAAAGCGCATTGACTTGTAGTAAACACCTCGACCTCGCTAATAGTCCAGAACCAGATTTAAGTGACCGAAATAAATTTGTGAGGAACTAATCGCAATAAAAATATTGACGATAGGCGCAAGGAATATGTTAATGAATGAATAGGGGATAGATATACTCAAGATGGAATGACTAAGGATGAATGAACATACGGAACTGGGATAAATGAGTGAGGAAACAGAGGCAAATGATAGGATATGAGCTAGACGGTTGGATAACGAGTGGGGATAGACAGACTAAACTGGAATGAATGAATTAATAAAAAGATAAGTTGATGGTCGGATGGATGATAGAATAGGGGAATTTAAGATGCAAGGTTGAAAGTATGGATCCACGGTTGATCAGGAATGAGTAGAAGTAGGATTTCCGACTAGATGTATACCAAGGATGGATTGATGAATTGAAGAATTAAGTAGAGATGAATTGATGAACTGGAAATGGGTGGCCTAGAGATGAATGAAGGATAGATTGATGTGCAGATAGATGGAGTAATGATGGATCAGATTCAGTCGTGCATCTGAAATAAATGAACCAAGTACGAACGAATAAAGGAAATCAGGAGGGATGAATGAGCAAAATTATGCAGTCGAGATGGATCAGTGGATTGGGAAAGCGATTGAATAAGGACGAAGAGACGGTTAGAGACATATCTGACAGTTATAAGTACATTTTTTCACGTTCTCTTGTAAAAAAATCTCAACTGCTAGCCGTAAATACAACCAAGCTTTCACTTACGCAGATCCGTAAGCATTTGCAAAGAAGTTAGGGCGAGGAATTGCAGATCAACGAGCTGCCCACTGCTGTCATAGCGATGAAGACCCAAAAAGAGTTCAAGGAGGAGTGGAACTGCTCCCGCACCTGAGGCCCGAACCACATTGTGTCCTAAGAGGAGAAAAAAGAAAGGACGATTATCATATTTGAAGGGGGTAACCTTGAGTGGGGACCAGTCACAAGAACTTCAATCAGTTTCATTTTCGCCTCCAAAGCGCTTTGTGGACAACATCTGCCTGAATCACTTAGCCACTTCGAAAATGGACAAAACAGAAAGTTCAAAATAACGCCTAGGAATTGCTGACTTCTGGCTTACCCTTCATAGCATTTAAGGGCAAGGAAACTAACAAACAGAAATCAACACATTATGCGAATTCGAATCCTCTAGACTATTATTGTTGGAACACAAATACATTCGTGTTTCACGTGTTAAGCTTATGACACCACTTCTGCCATATGTGACATTTCGTAATCTAACGAAAACACTTCGGAGCAGCACTAGCACGGACTATTCCATCCAGCTACTAAAGGATGCAATTTTAATGACTATTCTATGTTGACACCTTCGCCATCAGTGAATAGCCCTTCATCTCGGTTACAACAATTGTATTTGCTCCGATTAGTGTGTTGCAAACAGATTGGTTAGGGATAAAGGAAGGTTTTTGGCAACAGCTTGAAAAGACTTATTAAATACAATTGATTGTTTGCATTAATGCATGAATTATAAGGCATGGATAGACAAGTGTCAGCTTGTCATAACTACTGCATCCCTTATTACACCTTTTCTGTTATTTGCTACCTAATTTTGACCCCTGTTGACTGCCATATTAGAGCTTGTCCGCTTTACAAATAGTGGTGCAGAGCTGAAGAAAGTTCTCATCAAAATTTCTACATGGCATCAGAAGGAGGTGCCGATCGGAAGTGATACACATTTGTTTGAATCTCGTCCAGAAAAAAAGAACCAGGTACCGTTTTCCATTAATAATAAAGTAGTTGGTTGCCATCAACATCAGCCACAAAAGGCCTAAAAGCTAAGCAAATGGACCCGTCCCACATATATTACCAAATGGCAGTGAGCTTGGAGGTCCACTTCAATCAGTTTTTTACTCCTTCCACGTACGATAATGAAAAAGCTTTTGTAACTTTTCGAGTGTCTGCGCAGTGATCAACTGAATTGTGATGAGGTGGCATTTTGTTGCAAATTTAGCTGAGAAAACGAACGCATTACTGATTACCACCAAACGATTCACTTACTACCTGCCACGTCATCTCCTGATTGATATGTGCTGAAGAGAGAAGACCCCTTTTGTTCTGTACAAGTAGTACAGATACATCTTTAATCAGCCGAATAAAGCCTTCTGTTGGCAAGGTAATGCAAGACTTTACACCTCATAGTGCAAAACTCACTCGTGGGAAGACTTGGGTCTTAGTCTGGATGGGTTGGTGATACTGCCTCACCCGTATTCCAAACGATTCTCACCAATTGTTTCAGCATTAAACCAACATTTGGTTGGAAATGGAAGTGGTACAGATGAGGATGTAGCTAGAGCTAGCAACAGGCTTATGTTTTGTTGAAAAAAAAGAAATTAGAAGTTTCTTATACCGATATTGGTGTTTAAATGGCTCTAATTTCTTTTCCTACGAAAAACAATCGACAAGTGAAACAAGCTTTCTTTGTAGAATCACCCAGCCTCGGACAGTAGGTAGGTATTGGATCTCCCTTCCTCAAGGGGGGAGGGGAGAAACCTCGGATGTAATGAAATTAACAAAATGCCCCAGTAATACTTTCTCAACTCTGTCAGAGTCTTTTGACTACCATTCCAGACTCGTAGGTGGATTTTAAAGAACTGACTGCATTGAAGTTGCCGAGGCAGAAGAGTGACCAAGGAAAGCGGCAGGGACAACGATCAAAAGAAGAGGCTATGCGGTGAGGCAGTAGTTTAACCATGCGTTCTAACTAGGCGGGGCCTTCCAATTCCATAGGTTGTACTTCTACCTTAGCGGCGTGGCTACATGGGGCAGCAATAAGCCTCTTTCCATGGTAGTATCTTACTAAGAGTCCAACGAACACTCGAAATGCTGCTCAATAATGAACTGCAAATCCGTAGATGGGCCCTACATCACTCCATTCGAATTGTGCAGGCAAAGCTACGTCCAAATAGAATTCACAAACGGCAGGATTTTTCAAAAGTTATGAATAAAGATTTGATAAAAGGTGCGTGGTAAAGAGCATCACATGAAGAAGCGCTGACATGCATAAGCCAATTCATTTTCAGCCCGCACCATAACAAAAGGTACAAAAATCACCCTTTCAATGTGAATAATAATGATGCTAATTTAGGCGCTATTCTTAAAACCTTTTCAACAAAAACAACTGCTCCAACTAGACAATGAAGTATCACTTATTAAAGCACACTTCTATTAATATAATCAAAATCACTGAGTAATGAACAGCTTGACTAATGGGGATTTGATATTTACCTAATAAGGGAGAACTTCCAAGTTCTCTAAGTTGCATAACCCAAGCAAATGGAAGAAAGGGGATTCTGTTCTAAGACTGCCTAATCCGTGGCTCTGGCTAGGGCTGAAATGACGTTGAAATAACTAATGGATTCATTAATCATGCGCATGGTTTAAGGCTCTTTCTCAAGACAAAGACCAGGACCACTTAAGGCTCTTTGTATTAATAACTAACAAGTTTAGTTATAAATTAGGCAGCTTTTAGGTGATGAATTCCAACTTTTAATGAAAACAACAGAATTTTAAGCAGACAACCCACTTTGAAGGTAACAAATTATTGCTAGCATGCAGATTTCAAACATTTAGGTGATCTTTCGAAATTGAGATTAAGATGCCACCGAAATGGACGAAGTTTACCCTCTGTTCGACCTAATTTTAGCTTTCAGACATGAGGACAGAGAGACTGAAAAGAAAACGAATAATTTGTAATCTATGTAAAGATTAGTTCACATTTCAATTAGCTTCACTCGATGCAACTGGATGCAAATTAGTATTTTAAAATAAAAAAATCCGCTACATCAAGACAAGTCACCCCATACACCAGATGTCGATTACTTCAAGAAGAATAACTCCTAAAAGAGGGAGACGTTTACTTTATTCTCAGTGCTTGAGAGCACTCAAACTAGTTAGACTCGAGAACCAAGTTTTGACGCAGCTAGGCTATGAAAAGTGAAAATGAGATTTTTTCCTAATTTTCGCAAAAAGAGCTTTGACTAAATTCAACAGCACATGAATGCCGCGAACAATGGGCTCTTTAATCATAGAAACCGCTCAAAGGAAACAAAAGTTTGATGGGAAAATCGCAAATGCTGGACATGCATCATGTCCCCAAGTCCCCAAAAGATCCATCACAGTTAAGATGCCCAGATTAACAAGCGCCAACGTGAACTAAAAAAAACATCAAAGTAACCCAAAGTGATTTTTACGATAAAATCGTGAAATTGTGACACTAAATCGGTTCATAATGCAGGAAATACTAATGCTAACGTAGATACGCAAGTAATCTAAGTCTGTTGTGAAAGCCGATTTACGATGTTATATTTTTCTTTGAAATGTGAATCAGCTTAAAAATGGAATAATTCAAACGAGAATTGCCGTAATCTAGATGAATTCTTTTAGCAAAAACTGTAGACGATGAAAAACGAACAGGCTATTAAAAGTGCTATTTGACGGCATTGATAAGTAAGCTCTAAGATGAAAATATATTTGTGTAGTCGAGTTAGGATATTTGCCGGTAAGAAAGTACGAGTTTCAAGCAAATAAGTACATTCAGAGGTAATTTTCTAAAGTAATCTAAGTTCTTTAAAGTACAGTGAAGAAGTCACGCTTTGGAGGCATAAATATTTCTCGAGATTCTAAATGATAGGCTTAAACTTCTTTGTTCACAAACGCTTAATTATCCTTAGTTAAGGAGTTAAAACAATGTGCAAATAGAGCAAGTGGAAAAAAATTTACCAGATTTTGTAGCATAAGATGCTTCATACATAAACAAGTAAAGTTCAATGCCGAATCTTTGACTCAAAATTGGCTTCAAGCATGAACTCATCACGCCGATGGTGAACGAAGATTCCAAAGTGGAAAAGAAAATTTTGAGCTTGTTAAAACTAACCAACAGCAGGTTAGGATGGAAGCAAATACAGAGATGAATCTTTCGTTTACTAATAATTTGCCAAACGTTTTTTGCGACAAAATGCCAAATTTATACTAAGGGATCGACAAATTTTTGACACAAATAGTCAAATTTCCATCATCACTTTTAAGTTTAGTAGGGAGCGCTAGTCAGTTTTACAAATCAAGGCCTCACTTTCCGATTTCAAAGGTTAGATGAGCGATGCCGACCGATGACACGCCAGAACTAAAAAGAAGCCGACCTTACTTGAACCCTACCATCACTCGAGGTCATTCATGATAGCTAAGTAGATCTATAGAGAGGAAAGGGAATTTATTGCCCCCTTTTTATAATCGACCATATTTGATCGAGGTAGTTAACTTTGAGGGAAAGAGGAGAATCTCCACACTAAAGTTACGCGGGACGAATTCGTGCTGGTAGAGAAGTGAACCAATTCACGTCGTTCCCTGCACAATTCTGCAATTGTAATCAACATTGAATACTATCGTATTTTCATCCATATGATGCTATTGCTAAGTGGCAAATGTTAATTTGGTGGATGTTATTATACAGACATGCCCAATTCTCATTCCAATACATCATGTAAAGTTGGCAAGAAAACAAATATCCGCATTGCCTATTTGTGTAAAAATTGTTTTTTCCGAACTAGTGAAAGGCAGAAAGTGCAAAGGTAAAAGAAAATAATTAAAAAAGTCCCAAATTCGTGCGAATCACGCAAAGAAACTAGAGTTTCTACACTGGGATAAAAAGGGGAAAAATAATAAAGCAGACTTTGACCATCAGGCGCCATTTATTCCTCCACAGAGACTTGAGGAAGGTAATATTCCAAGGATAATAGAAAGGGAGAGCTGGATGGTTAGAGTACCTTCAGAATGAGGAATCTAGACTCTCAGGAGAGACTCACCTTTGAAAGAAACTCGACCAAATAATGCGTGAGGAAAGCATGACCCTTACTATAGGGAAAAAGGCATTAATACTGAGAAATGATAACTAGAAAGTTCGTAAATTTTAACCGTTAAAGGGGGCAAGGCCAGTAGAAATTCACACAACTCACAGTCTAGGAGAAAGAGTGGGAATTCGAAGATTGATAAAGCTGAGATCATGATCAGATCGCCAATTAACTCAAATTTTAGTGTTATGGATATGTTGCATAAGATGTCCAAGTAACTCAAATGCAATGAATGAATTTTGCGTAAATCATGGACAAAAGCAACGTCATTTCAAAATTAGGTGAAGGTCGAAAGCCATGAAGTAATCATTAACTCATCTCTTTTCCATTAAGATTAAAAAAGTGAAAAGAATTGGTAGCGCTTCGAGCTCTGCCCCTGTTTCTGGCCTTCATGAACGGAAACAAATGACAGAAAGTTCACTTGCGCAAAGAAATATGCTGTGCTATCAGGGGGCACCAGCATGGAACACAAAAATTCACTCTACTTTATAAATTATTTTGATAGTTATGAGAATTAAACTACATTATTCATCCACTGGTTTGATTTCAGTACCGAGGGATGCATGTGTACATTTCTGGAGGAAATGACAGCATGCCCACTTGAGGAAACCTTCAAGTTAAATGAAATTAGCCTTTGCGGGAGTCAAAACCACCAGTATCACAATGCTCGGAGTGTCCAGCATACATTCAATGATTAAGAAAAGGACTGAGTCAGGAAGACTCAAGCCAAAATACTCGATGGTATGATACTCCAAATCAGGAAACTTTTCTTTCCTTGTTTTACACTTTGCTTTCCTTCTATAAAGTGACCAAACAATTCCAAGCAGTTTCTACAACAAAAATCAGAAAACTGTGTAAATCTCCTAAGAGTATTTGACTTATTGTAGCTGCCATTCATAACCTTTTCCCCAATGAGACCCAAGCTTGCTGGAAATTCCACGATTACAAAAAGTTTTGTTTATGAAACACTGGAAAAATTTCAACTCCCAACCACCTCCGATTTCAGCTCATTCTCATTTCTCGACTACTTTTACTTGCATAAACTCAAGCCATGATCCAATGCCAAGTAAAAAAGGATGAGGATGAGGTAGTACTTTCTCCCCCCAAACTAAAGCGTGAATCTTCTCAAGGCTAGGTTTAGCGCTATAAGGGTTAAGGCCTTGCACAGTGTCGCCTCTTGAAAGCGAGCCTCTTTCTGGCCTACTCATTCATCTTGAATGTTTTTGAGAAGTTCTTAATTCTTCGGACTTCGGGAAGTAAACAATTGTGTTTTCAATGCATGACACATATAAAAAGTTTAGTCTTCTGGGGATGAAATGGTGAAGGCCTCAGAAGCGCAGAGAGCGTAATGGGGCGAGGGATGGTCAGATGGGAGGGATCCATTTGCGCAGTTCCCACGACTTTCCCTTTCAAGTTGCTATAGGTGCAAACAGACCGTCTCATCACCACCGATTTCAAACGTTACTGAGGAGCTCTCTAGACAGGTTAATGTCGACTTAATATCCAAATAGACACACACTTCTTGTTTATCACCAAAAAAGGTCTTTCTGAACAAGACCTATCCGTCTGACTCAGCACTAAATTCAAATATTTCGATTTCGGGTGGTACATTGTGCTATTGCACCTGGGATTACATTCCTAGGTGTAGCCACCACTTTATAATATGAGGATAAGCGAAAGTATAAAGTACAATAAAAGACCCTAACGACTGACTGACTGACGCATGTCCGTACTTTACAGTGCATCCGTGTACACAATTACATGAGTTTCCCAAGTTCCCATGAGTTGCAGTAGGTGATGCAAGTAGCGCAAAAACTAGAATTAAGGATACGTGGGAATGAAGGCCAAAAAGGTATGATTTATCGTTAACTTTAACATAAAAAATAACAAGAGAAGCGGTAGAAGTGATGTTCCAAAGATACAACGGGAGAAATAAATTAGATTTTGCATTAACTTAGTCCACTTCGAGAAAAGTAAGGGTAAACTTTTATAATGGCAAATTAGAAGCAAACTTTTGTTAAGATTATCCATAAATCAGCTACCATTAATATATTTGCAATGTTTTTGACTTGCTTAAAGCCGTGAGGTCCCAACAACGAAACATAAAATCATAACCATCGACCACTTTAAAACACGAAAAGCACTCAGTTCATACAAAGATGAACTTTGAAAAGAACACTAAGAGAAGGAAACAGTGGGATAGAACAAGTCAAGTCTTGAGTTCTCCATAGAAATTTGCTAAAATAAGATTATTGCTCATACCTACATCCTCGCCATGAAAACATAGCAATTGGAGGAATAGTAGTAGCAAAGCGCACTCACTCCACTTCATAAGTACTACCAGCGTGGACAAAATCTGCCCCACTGTTGCCGAATTTACTCCTACACACTTTCCAGTACATTGCGTTTTCCACGAATCCACCATCCATCCCCCTCCACTCCTTCCTCCTCCACCACCACCACCACCATCCGTCGCCTCATCAGACAGCGATGATCCCGAAGAATTCAATACTGCAATTACCGTGGAGGTTCGCCTAATGTGAGGCAGTCCAGCCGTTAAAGCCAACGCCCGAAGGAGTACATTCACCGTTCCAAGACGACCGATAGTAGCGGAATTGCTGCGTCCCCGACGGCCACAGTAGCAGCGAAGGGTGGTGAGGAGAACACGGAGGTTGGCGGCAAGGGAGGACGGCACGCGGGATTGAGAGGGTCGGCGCAGAGCATAGGAGGGCCGACGACGACTACGGCGGCTAGGAGGGGGACAGAGACCACCATGGGAGTTGTTGGCGGTATTGACAACGGTTGTCCCAGTAACGCTAGTTGTTGAGGCACGAGATAGAGGGGGACGAGGGCCGATGAAGGACTGAAGATGAGCAATCTTGAAAAGTAGGAATAAGTTGGAAGGGAGAAATTTGCTTAATGGTAGGATGGTAATCAACCTTCAGTAAATCTGACTGAAGGTCGTTTTCACTTAGCCATATACATACACTACCACCGATGACAGAGTTCTGGTACAAAATTACCAACCTAGTCTTTGAATTTATCAGAGAAGACATTCGTAATTCGTACATAGAGATGCTATTTCAATTACCAGGAGTTCTACAGCACATGTCACCTGAAACGTTACCTCCCACTAAACTTGTTTTCCAAATCATCTCACATTCCCTGCCTGACCACTACATTCAGCATAGAAAACAATTGCAGATTGTAAATAATAAGAATAATAATTAAGGTCAAAGGAATTATATGACTAGTTATCCTAACCAATCGTATTCCCGAGAACAACATCAAAACACGACTTATCCACTATGCCAAAAAATGCAACGGTGCAATCAAATTAACCAATGTTCCACGCAGCTCAAAATTTCCTCAGCAAACTGAAACTCCGTATCACAATACATTCTATTACTTTATATGTATTCATCAAGTACCAAGAATGAAAAAAGTGCGGCAAAGTAGGTATATGCATGTGTAATCCACATTCAAGGCACGCCAACTTACCTGAACCCGAAGAATGCTAACAGTTATTGGTATGCATTGACTGAGTCTGGCACGAAGTGTAAATCTTCGGTCATAGGGTGCAAGCTTGCATAGCAGCTAAACAGCAGTGAAAGATAATAAGAAGAGCACAAAACCATACTTTGTGCATTTTGAAAAGCAGTTCATCAACAGACATATTTTCCGAATATTCGGCACGAAGCGCTTGAAGTATAACTCGAGTTCCACCAGCATGAACGATGTAGAGTAAATACTTTTCCTCGTCTAGAGAATAGGATGAATAATACCACAACAATCCAATTCACCAGGTCCAGTACATAATTTACTGAGTAAAGAGATCGCCTGTATTCGAACACCCTGGCAAACGAAGATTTGTAAAACAAATAAAACATTTGCGATAAATCTTTCGTCCTCACAATTCAAGGTACGAATAAGAGCTAGAATCAAATAGTACAGAAACATGTCCTTTTCCTACTTTTATTGCAAATTGACCGATTCAAAGCAGACAGTACTGCAACTATAGAATTTTTCTTTTCTTCGAGATCAGAAACTGCAGCAGACTCATTCGCAAACCTCGATAATTCACTGAAAAGGATGTAGAAATCGTCCTTGGTCTCCATTTTGACTATTTAATGCAGCCTTCATTGCATGTCTATAAAGACGATATTTCTATGAATAAAGGTTTGGAAGGACAAATATCGAAACGGGCTGCTCAAGTCCTTACAAAAGCTAAAGTTCTATTTGCTTTGGATAAGTGGAGAGTAGCGGTGCGGCAAACGAACGTGTTCGGAGTAAACACAATTCGGCCCTTATATACACCAATTAAATGTTAGCACATTGAGTCTTCGCGGCAGTTAATGGGACGTTCCATTTACGCGCCAAAGGATTTAAATTCATTTAGTGGCTTAAAAGCCAATACCCATGACGATTTAAATAATTTCAGCTTGAATGCAATCCAGGAATAATACTAAGCACAACTAGCTTAATAGTGCTCTATATGCCTTTAGTATGCCTGTGATATGTTAGCCAGAAGCGGTAGGGAACCCCACAATTGGACTCCGACCAACCCATAGTCGGACCTCCAAGGGGGAAACAAACCACACCTCGCACCACCACCCAGGTCCTGACATTCATATGCCTGAATTGTTACGGCACAATACCATTTAGTGGAGCCCCAGGGGCCTCCAATGGGCCAGTTTCTACGTCCATATTCTCGTTTGCCATTGCAACTATCGGCTGCGGAGACGTCAAAATACGTCTTATCACCAGTGCTGTGAGCAGCAAAGAGGGAAAGAATGTTGGTCAAGAAGAATGACGTTCATCTGGAAGGCTGGGCATCGCCACCCTCAATCACATCTTCAAGGAAGGGTTTTCCACCTCGCATCTGGGCTCAGGCTGAAGAAGTAAACTCCCACCCCCTTCAGTTGTGCTTAGATTCTGGTCATCTGCAAAGAAAGGCATCTTATTTGGCCATTAAGTGCTGCTCTTACTATGCATGACTATTTCCCTCCCTTCTTAACAACGCAAAATGGCTTCCAGTCAGTATAGCCTCCATCAAATTTCCGCCAACTCTCACCGAAAACGGTTCTGAATGAAATGACATTTTGCTAAGATCCCTTATCTAGCAAGTAAGTAAGTGAGCAAGTAGTTTTCGACGTTGGAATCCAACAAAGCAAGTGCGGCGTGATGCCATTAAGCATGTTCCATTTCACAAATGAACCATAACCGTGCAATACGTCGCCCCACGCGTTGGAATACTTACGCGCCTAGACCCCTCATTGGAAAAGCTGTCTATGCGTGTCGCCCAGTAAAACTGCAATTTTCTGTCAAGTAAAAGTTGTAGATAGAAAATAGACGGGTAACCACGACAATTTTGGGTAAAATTCTTCAACAATTTACTAAATGACCGTTGTCTGCTTAAATTCGAGCACTTCCAACGCATCCACAAATGAGAGCAAGGGAGGACTGACCATTTTACTCCAAAATCTTGTTAACAAGTATGAGGTTGAATTTTCTTTACCTTCAAAGCTCCAAGATGCAGTGAAGTTGAGTAAAAATCGCAAGGAGGCTTGTGTTTACATATAAAAGCCCATAACAAAACCGTACCTCTAATTCTACCACAAATAGTTAATGTCCAGTTCATCTCAGGCCTTAATAATAAACATGAAACAATCTGAAAACCACAGATGAAGCTGAAAAGTAAAAACGGTCAAACGAAAAAAACAAATCCCAAAGTCACCTAATTCAACGAGAATGAACCAAAAATAATAAGCCGATGACAAAATTAGCCACCATTTGTTGAATATAGTATCTGATGACGAACCAACATACCAGTTTGCCCTCGTCACTCTCTCTTTCTTCTCGTTGCACATTCCACCCGTTCCCATCCCTATAATGTCACAACTATACACACCTTTTCTTAGGTTCACCCTACGTTTACCGATGCAATACATGTAACTTAACGCTTTAATGAGATGTTTCAGGTTAACAAAACACCTGAAAGATAACAACACTTACATTGCGCGCGATCCAATGCAAGTCAGGCAGCCGCGACTTCAAGTGGTTCATCATGTAAACCATGCTCTCCTATTGCTACACATCTTCCCGTTCCTGCCCGCAGCCCTAAATGCAACCATAAGCATTCCCTACAAGTTGTTTTAATCTACTAAGCACAAGTTTGCCTACAACAAAAACAATTTAGGTTCCATCTGGAAATTCGGAGGACTTAAGCATAATGTGTGAAAGCCCACCACAGCATTTCAAGCAAATGGTTACAGATCTCCGATTAGCCGTTACATTGCTTCTGAATCTACCTTAAATACCACCTCATACAAAAGTCGGGCCTACAATTAGATGGTTACTGAGGTCCTACTTTACACGTTTCACTACGAAACTATCAGCACAAAAACGAGGGCTGAGGTATCAGGTACTGCTGTAGAATTCTATGAATAATCAGGTGGCAAAGTATACCACATGCAGGACATCTTCTGCTGAAATAAATATTGCGGCCGCCAAAATAATGCAACTTCCGCCATACATTTCTTATTAAAAGAATAGATGCTAAAGGGCTAATCAAATTGGTAACGGGAACGCGTACACCAAATTCGTTAATCTGCAAAAGATGCGAAACACATTAATTACAAATCATTCTTACATTAACAATGTGCGGAGTATTAGTAGCTGTGAATTTCCCATTTAGAGCCGTTGGGTAATGCCTCAATGCATGTCATTTAGTGCTCCATGGGAAAGTGGTACACTCTTGCGCGGTTTAGGGTCCAAAACATTAGTACTAAGCAAAGCTAAACATATATACACATAAATCTCCTTATTTTTGGCAATCAGAGCCTTATTAATCAAAATCTTGGCACTGGTAAAATAAAAAAACACAACCCGATGCACCAGTGTGGCGCAACACCAAGACAACCCTGAAAACGGCAACTTAAAAAATTTGAAAGAAACATTTAGATAAACAAAATATACAAAAAGGTTTCGTAGTACAAATGTTAGGTTTAAAAATTTTCGTGTGTTTACACATCTAGTTAACTTAAAGATGGTGCTTGAGCATTCTATAAAGCACTTTTTTACAGCTGGACCTATTTTGTGCAAACAGGTGGTAATAGGCAAAAAACATTAGGCAGTTTTGGCTTTAAAATAAAAAAATCTATATTAAATATGTTTTAAAATGCACTTTTGCAACTGAATTGATGGGCGAACAGAATTTTCCAGAAGCGGAAGTAATAAGGTCTTGCTGAAGCTATCCTGCTTAATTTTAAGCAAAATATATTTTAAAAACCATTTTATAGCCTTAAAATAGGTCAGCTAGAGTTTGTTAGTACAGCCTCTGAAAATTTTGCCTAATACTTTCCATTTTGGTTCGTCTTGCAATGACTCTTTTAAATGACTTCATCTCGCAGAATTTGTGCAATTTTGTAAAATGGTCGTTTATCCCTCGGTATTAACGAGGAGCCACTTGTGAATTGGCCCTCGTACCATGTTGGGTTGCCTGGCCTTCGGGCCGTGCCAGCAGCTTAGATATTTTTTCTATGCTGAATATGTATGTTCTGCCCGAGTATTATCCTTTTTCGTCTTCAGGGGAGTTTCCGGGTGCTACAATATTGTTGCAATGCGCTGGTTGTTTGTTTGCCGGTTGCTTTTAGGCAAGAGCCTGTTCCTACTCTTCCGCCATTTTAGCTTCCAGAAACTTTCCCGAAGACGGGAGAAGACATAATACTAGGGCAGAATACGTTTACATACTCGACATAAAGAAGGTATTTGGGCTACTAGCATGGCCTGAAGACCAGCCTACCCAAAGAGGTACAAAAGTGGCTCTTTACCAAAACCGACCGTCAAACAAACAGCGTACTGTATTACTTTCCACGATCACGCCTCACTTGCATGAATGACTGACTCTGCTCTTCGTGTGGCGTTGTGTCTCTTCTGAGTAGATTCGCTGATTTTGCGACCGGATAATAGCGAATAATTTTCTCTATCTACCCGTATCTCTTCTGTTTCGACTTGTGATGTTGATGAGAATATATGGTTCACGTGTCTGTGAACGTTTCTACAAGTTGGTTTTGAGTTGATAGATAAATACACCGGAAGAAATAAAAGCAATTTCTAGCAGCAAAATAATTGCGAAGCATATAATGGCGAAGGTGAGTAGGATGTTCATGTTCTCCATTTTGATTTATTTTTACATGTATTGCTTGATGCTCTTGTAATACTTCCATGTATTTTAAAGAGTAAAGTGGATTTGTTGTGGTAGAACGCATGAAAGCAGCCACTGCTTGGGAGGCTGATAATGCTCGTCTGATTCCCAGCTTCGTCCTCAACATGGTTCAGCTGGAGAATGTGGTTACCGTTTCACCCGAGTGAGTGTTCTCATTTTCCTGGTTTCCTCCCTCACCCCTCCTTTCTTTCCCATTGACATTGTACTGTTACAAAACAGCTTCAGCACTCCCTGGCAGCATATAATAACCACGCTTGAACCAGACCTTTGTTTGCCAAAAGCAAGTTTGCATTTAAACAATAAAGCCGACGAAGAATAATTGCATTTAGTGATTTTGAGCAGGACTTGAGGTTCGGTTTGAATACCCGACCCTAATTGGTGTGGTTATTTAAACCATGGTATGACTACTGGGCCATCGTGATGGCGTTGTCCGTCAAACAGGAAGGCCTCAGTTGCCAACTAATTGAGCAGTGCTTCTGCAGCTGCTATCTGGAGGGTGGCCTTTGGCTTTCTTTTACACGAATCTACTGGAGCGCAGGTGCTTTTTTGCCGAATCGTACTCTCATATCACCTCATTACAACTGCCAGCCCATTAAAGATGTGGAAATAAATCGTCTTAGATTCATTTCGTGCGGAAGCATTGAGTCCTACCCTGACATGCTAGCATCTTTGGCCTACAACCATTTCGACCAGATATTGTTCCGCTTGCCTAATTTAGAGCCTTGGTCACTTTGTTGCTCTTCTGTGGATTTCTCTAACTCGTCACCTGTTGCAGCAATGAAGAAGGGATTTGGATGTGCTCCGATGCCTTACAAGGGGTTATTTTACATGACCTTATGAATTTCGTCGTCAGCATTTTATGGCTGAATGCTTCAGTTTGAGTAGGGTGGGAGAGTAATTGTAGAACTGCAGTAAATTATTGGCATGCGAACTACTAAGGCGTCTTCCGCGATGTGACTTTGAACTACGTCCCCAACATTGTCCATGAAGGAAACGATAGCTTCTCAGCGCTGTCAGAGCATCGAAAGACAGTGGCCTCCTCCACCAACAGAAGTGCGACTATTGCAGAGGTGCTATCGGGATAATGTGCACCGGGCCCCTCGGCAATAGACGACTGCCTTTGTGAATCCATTCCTCATTTCCGCAAGTTTCTCCTCAGTTTAAGCCATGGTGATCGTTTTACTGTATACGTATCACTGGACTAGATCTGGTGATGACTTCTGATGTGGTTTTAAGTAGGAGAACAAGTGGCGCAGTTTATTTGTATGGAATTGGGTGGAAAGGGTTGCAGGGCTAGTGTACGCTACTTCGTTGGTTGAGATAGTCAAAGCGAGGAGGACATTTACCGTCCCGAGCCTATTCAACCATACGCTGCCTTGCTCGGTAGTCGTTGCTAGGCAAAACCGGCGTATTATTTGCTATTTTTGGCAGGCATTGGGCTAGGGTCCAGTGGAGAGCGCATAAGAAGTGGAAGGAGGAGGCATCCGTCTGGCACTGGTGGAGAAATAACGCATTAACATCCTTTGTAAGTGAGACAAAGTAACTTGGCACGATTCCTTCCTCTTTCAGCTGGGTCCTGCGAAAGCGTTCACAAGGGAGGAATTAGATTGAGTAATCACTGAAACCGGGAGACCCTCCAACGATGGGGCTCAGTAGGCGCGACGGTTAACCACTCATTCGTCTTACTAACCATCCAGCCAACTTAAAGTGTGCACCTTACACCAACATGTTTTGCTGCCAGGGTAATCGGCAACTCCACACGCCCCAGTGGCTGGAGGTCCACTTCTCGTGCCAAAGAGCTCAGCATTCGGCACACGTCACGAAGTCAATGCTTTCGCTCGGCTTGCCTGATTTGCCAACACCACACATCGTGCCTCCACCTCACTCGTAGCGATCTGCGGTAAAGGCATCTGCATTGAAGCCGTCACCTCTGAAAGGGTTACAGGGTCCAAACTCACACACGAACACAAACACTGAGTTATGACAGCCACATGCGATAATTTGTAGATCGCTTGGTATTCACTGCATAGACGGACCTTGGCACTTCGGACTACGTAGTCGGCAACAGCTGGCTAAGCCACGATTTTGGTGCCCGCGTTTCCCAAGAGCAGTAAACCGGGAAAGGAGAGTAGGATACAAAATACGAACGACCCGATGACAATGATATTACAAGAGAGGTGAAAAATAGTCTTTTGGGACAAATAACAACCCCATCGACAGGAGGCCTGAGCGCAGTCGCCACACACAGTGGAGGTGGCAAATTTCGACCGAAGGCACACCCCTTGAGAGCACGTCTGCCTGCATACTCCATGCTCGCCTCCTCGTAAGGTGGGATTTTCGATGGGCACCGCATCTCCAATTGTGAAGGTGTATTAGTGACATGAGGTACTCTATCAATTTTCTACAAGTCAGGGAAAAGACACACGATGGAATCAGATAAGGTGTAGGAGCACATGCGCATAAAATGTAAATGAATTTATCCGTGACAGCTCGAGTTGTTTTCTGTCGGGAAAATAGATGAATCTAAGATCTTGGAGAAGGTTTGGAAAGCATCTGCCAGTAGTGATATTTACAGCTTCAAACGAGTAGATTCTACAATTGCGCCTGATAACTCACATTGGTTGGTTCGAGACACACCAGGGGGATGACGAACATCCATTCGATCATTCATTTGCCTGTTGAGAAACCTGGGCTTCATCCAGAACTCTACAGAAAGTAAAAGCAGCTAGAAACAGACCAGGGGAAAGGTTTAATATCCCCTAAACCTCTTTTATTACGCAACATCATAAAAAGACTTGAGAATATGGGTAAAAAAGCACTTTGCCGACCAAATAATGCACACACTAAATGCATTAGTGCACAACAACCGTAACACCAACTCACGCACCGCCAGCCATTCCTACCTAAGCAATGTGCAAAGCAAAGCCACATGCAAGACCCACATTTACTTTCATTATAAACATACACTCCTATTGAATATGCTGTCCATAAACGTCACTGGTACCAGGCAGAGCCAAACATTTACCAGGATTTTCCTCTTTAAAATAAATAAGGCCTTTACAGCCAGAATCTAGGCAGCGCAATATTCGGAAAGGAATCTGGAGTAACGAGAGTTTAGAGCAGCCGCTGGGGATGTTGCTTACCATAACAAATAGAAGCGATAAGGTTTCGCGCTTTAAAGTTAGCCGTATTCTTTTCATCTTTTACACATGACAAAGTCAAAGTGACTTTAAGGCGCCCCATGTATTACTGATATGCGCCATTTTGGCCATTTATATGTGCGCTTGAAGCGCTTATAACAAAGAGGCACTAGTATTACAAATCTTTAATGTTATAAATTTTGCTGTCAGTTTTAAAATGTGGCCAACTATTACATGCGTAAACAATTTCGCACATGCTTTTGTTTGCAGTGGCAGGTGAGAAATTCCCAAAAAGCGGCGTAATTTAATATTTTTGTCACTTTACCTATAGCAACATTCATAAAATGATTTGTCTTTATAACATCTCAATTTCATGAACTAAGCCAATAGTGCTTACAAGGTTGTAGCGCGTTTGTATGAAAATCATTGTATGAATGATTTCTTGCATTCCGTGGAAAATACATCCTACGATATACAATAAATGCAGGGCTTTACCAATTTTGCAACCTATCAAGTGTTGTGAGCGATTCGCCTTGCTGGGTTATAACTTTGTGTGAATCGTCGTAAATAAATAATACTCGACTATCAATTTTGCGGGGACAATTGCGCAATGCATGTCAGGACAATATTGTCCGGTGTCGAAGCATCAACACTACGCTGGGATTTAATTTCGCCTTGCCATAGTGCGAGCACAATTACAATAACGGCATTTAATTGACCACGTGGCATCTTGATATGTGTCGATGTTCATATTAAAGAGCATGAACGAACGCTATTTCTGCAGAGGTGTGGTAAAGCTTTCAAGCCGACAATTGCTTCGGTGTCGCCTCTTCTAATTCCGCATAAGCAGGAGGTGGTTTTGTAGTGAATTGCAACGCGCACTACCTATCTCCCTCTCTCTTCTTCTCTCCCTCCATCCATCCGTCCATCTATCCCTCCCTCACGTGTGTCAGTGGGCGAGCCCGAAGTGTCAACCTTTTTGACAAGCAAACAATGGGAAGGAGCTTTTCAGACACACCTTTCAAATACAAAATAGGACAGTCTAAACATACACAAACAGTATCAACTGCATAAATATGAACAAGAAAAGAGTGAGGGAAGGGGGAGGGTGCTTTGGGTTGGGAATTTGACTGATCAAGCCTGAGTCCCTTGGATTCGTGGATTGCGCATCTTTGGATCCGATGTCTGTAGCCACTCGAAACTGCGACAGAGTGTGTGCAAAAGCATTTGTGGAGTGAGACAATGATTAGGATCACAGACAAACTGTTAGTCAGAGTGAGTGGAAGCTCAACTGGGTGGTTGGAGTGGTTAAGCCTTCCTGTTGGTGGATTATCATTAAATGATTTGCCTTATTCTCATTGTTCCTCGTATGAGCATTTACGTAGAATAATAACCTCTACCCATTATTCCATGTATTCCGTAATGCAACAGGTGCCGGAGTAGCACAAAAGTGTGAGAGGGAGAGACTTGTACAAACTCACTTCACTCCACTGTCACGGCGTGTCAGACATGCTGTCTCCTCGTTGGTGTCAAGGCCGTGCGGCTCGGAGGAGTTTAATATTGAATCGCCACACACTGTGTGGTTTCGGCCGGCGAGGCTTCCTGCAATGCATCCAAATGACTTCTGACGACGTCTTGGCAACGATGGACCTTAGAACTTGGGCGCAAATATAGCTTTATTTTTAGCAGCAATTGAGACAGAGAAATGGTAACCGCTGTGGTTTTGTTAGCAAAGTTGTCCACAACCAGTTGACGGACTTGTTGTAAATCCTCCCTGACATGCATAAATCATACAATGGCGAATCGGATGCCACAAATGAATGAATTTTAACCATCAAATCCCCGTACATTCCAATCTAAATATTCTTCCTTCGTGTCATCTTACCGAGAGTTTTTTCGCCATGCTTGTGCGACTTATCGTGCTTGATCCAGGGGTGTTTCAACGCCTCTTCCACCGTCATGCGATCTTCCGGTCTCCAGCTGTTGAAGAATTCCGTACATAAAGTTAACTTCATAATTAATTATCAAGTCATTTTAAAGCAAAACTTCAAAATGGCCGTTAAAAGTGCAACTTGATTATTTGAAAGTTTTTTTGAAGTAAAAAGTGAAGAATAATAAGTAAGACTGACGTTAGACATTTGAGGATAAAGTCCTTGAACACTGGGTCAGCGGCATCAAATTCCTCCTCGAAAGACTTTGGTGGGGTGGAAAGCACCTTTGTAGGGCGACTATTCTCACCTAAAATTTTAACCAAATAGTACGCTTTTACCTTACATCTACTGCAAATCTTAAGGTGCATTTGGAAGCTAAATAAACATTGCGTCTTTTAAATGAACGATGTACATATTCCGTCTTAAATATATGTCGAACCCGTAGTGGGATGCTTAATGCTTCAAAACACTCTGAAGGCGGGTGCAATGAATTCCACCCTCTACTTACCTACTAACTTCTTGAATGTGGGAGACTTCTCAGTCATTTCCTCTGGCGGCGCTCCCAGCAATCTAGTTATGCACCGCAACTGATCGGCTTCGTCGACTCCAGGGAACAGTGGAGCACCTGATACGAAGAAGGCAAATAAGCTTGTGCCTTAATCAAACCACCAAGCGACTGCTTACACTGTCTCAATGACAAGTTGTATCACTAATTTGCCTCCCACTTTAAGACTTTTAAAATCTCCTACAGGAAAGTGTCATTTTGAAGTGGACTCTTGGAGGCTCGATGGTGGATTAATTAAGAAGAAGAAGGAAGTTCCGTAATAACTGCACTCTGGAGTGCGTGCCAATTAGTATTTGTGGAGGGTGGGAGGGAGAAAAGCACAAAAAAGGGCAAAGTGCCTGTATAAAGCTCCGCCAGCACGCAGCCGAGGCTCCACATGTCGATGAGGGTAGAGTAGCGCAGTCCGAGTATTACCTCCGGCGCCCGGTAGTACCGTGATTGGATGTAATTGTAGACTGTTGTTCAAAAAAATCAACGTACAATTACTAAGTTTATTGTGCTGAACTAAGTAAATAATAATAATAATAATGGGTGAGGCTATTCAAGCAGTAGAATTGAACGGGTAAAGACTGGAAAAAGGAAAGGTGTAAGGATCACTCACTTTGCTCCGACTCTCGACAACTCGATCCAAAGTCGATCAATTTGACGTGTGCCTTGTCGTCTGGGAATACAAGGATATTCTCCTACAAAAAAGATGGAAGCAGAAGACCGCGATAAGTAGAAGAAGGTGTATTTTAAGCAAATAAAGAAGACATCCTCCTTCTCCTCCTACCGGTTTGATGTCACAGTGGATGATGGACTCCTCTTTTAAGATGGCCAAACACTTGAGACAACATCGCGTTATGCCTCGAATGACTTTCGTAGGGAGCCCACGAAAATCACGTCGCTTCAGAACTTCGAAGAGATTTTCCCTTGAAAGAGAGTTGATTGTTAGTTGGACAAATACCTACCCAATCAACTCGCATACGATGCAGGGATGATTGCGGAAAGTGAAATCGTCAAACATGCGGAGGGTGAAATTTTTGCTCTTGGGATCGCGGCGCATGAGGACGCTGAGCATCTTCGCCTCCACCTTCGCCTGTTCATGGAGGCTAAATTGATGAACGAGAGAGAAAAAATTAGACAACCGTCTTTCAATGAATGATAAGGGCATCAAACAAAGTTGTGCCGTTGGGCTGAGCATTAAAATGTGCTTAAATTGAAAATTTTATCGTAATTTGCAGTATGCGCACTTTCTTGGTAAAAAATGCGAAATTTTCCGACTCAACAACCCTCATGCGCTTTTCCCACGACCGAGAGTGGCCCACTGTAAATGGGAAATAAGCTGCAGGAGGAGTTACTTTTTCATGATTAAGGCATTAAATGAATTGTCCCCTGCCCCCTGCTTTCTTTAGCAGCCCGTACACAAGCGATCAGTGTGCAATGGCTGGCGAAATCTTGATGGAATTCAGCAGGTCCTCCCATTTTTGCCCTCTCATCTCTTTACAACACATGCTCGAGGAGGAGCAGCACTACTTTAAAATTCCCGCTCGCGAAAGAACTTGAAAAGGGCTTTCATCCAATACTCACCAGCAAGATTGTCAAAGTCATTGCACTTACTTTGGCCGATTTCTGATGATCTTGAGAGCCACCCTTTGTTGATTCCGATGGTCATAGGCTGCCACCACTTCTCCAAACGCGCCCTTGCCAATCGTGCCAATCACCTCGTAGCGATAGGCGATGTGGTCATGGGGTATTGTCTTGTACTCCCCTTTCTTGTTGTCAAAGCCATTGTTGTAAGGCTCATTCCTTCCAGTGGTTTTCGCAACGCCTCGTCCAAAGTACCATATCTTCTTGTAGTGTGCGATTTCTCCACGTTCATACTCGGTTAGACTTGATCCAAAGCGCTCTATAACCTCTACAATATGTTCACGACTTCGTTAAACGATAGCTCAACAGTGAGTTAGGAGGCAGGTGAAGTGAGTGGTGACTGCACTAACCTTCCGGAGAAAACCACTTCCGTCGACTGTGACTGCGGTGACTGTGACGATAACCACCGAAATTGTGGCTGACGAAGGTGGTGGTGGCAGTGGCGGCGGCAGTGAACGAAATACTGGTGGGTGATGCTTCCTCTTTGGATGCGGTGACAAATGTGGAGCGACGTCTCGACATGAAATGGTCCACGTTCACCTCCCTTGGTGTTTTGGGTGAACAGTGAAGACCATTATTTTCAAGTGGCTATTGATGGAGAAGGGAAGAAATGGACAATTATAGACTCTTGATAGGGCTGAAAGAGGAGCGTTTATGTCTGTAGCGAATCCCAGTCGACCAGAGCCATTCCCTACGGAAACGACATTATAAAAGGAAAAAAAATATTTTTCATGTGGCCTTGCTACAACTCTCCGTGGATGCGGAAAGTGCATGTAAGCTATTGCGTGGGTCCCATCGACGGATGAGTCGACATGCCATCAGCATAGCATTCCTCACTATGCAATCTGCTATTTTTACCCCACTTCGGGTTAGCGTGGCGAGTGTACTTCAAATCTGAGTCATCTTCTACAGCTGCAGACGTTGAAGCTCCGCGCATAAATTATTTTGCAAATTTTGGAGAAGTCACAATGCTACACCAACGTGCCAATCAACGATGACTTACTCAATTTGGCTCTAGTGATGTAAGACCGGGACCCTCCGTTTCTAGCTGCTGTCAAAGCAAACTATGTGTCACTGCTCTTTTTGTAATTACAAAAGAAGGAAATAAGCGTGTGACTTTTAGTCCAAGTTATTAGGAGTGATGGAAGAGTTCGCTATGGACGCACTAATTGACTCGCAATGAGAAGTGGACCTATGCCCCTATTTCGGTGCTTCTTAAGCACTTCAAATGGCGCATCATTTCAAACTGTGGAAGACCACACCTTCTTCAACTGTGGTGTTAGTTGGGCTGCGGAGGGTTGCCCTCTGTAAGCCAGATTGGGTAGGTCAGTAAGAAAACATCGTTGCAGGCGTTTGTGTCGCATAATGCAATACGCATCCGTGAGAAGTTTGAATGCCGAGCACTAAGGGAGAGAATGGCAGGAGAGGGGCGCTGCTGTTGCCACTTCCTCATTTTCTGCATTCTTCTCCTCCTCCTCCTAATACACCCCAGTGATTGCCACTGCCTCTGCTTAACATAAGACGATCACATGCGAAATAGGATAATAGACAGTTGGCCAACAACGCAAAATTCCCGTTTAAATTAAATCACAATGTACCTTTAGATTGTTAAAGAGGAAAAAGGGAGACGCACCTTAACTTTTATGACCTTTCCATCCTTTTCATGGTGACTTTTGTGCGAAGCACGAATTCGATTGTCCGGAATGCGGTAGAACCATGCATTGTTGTGAATAATTTCACCGGTAGTTAGCTGCTGCCTGTTCATCCGTCGGTCCGCCTTTAGGGCACAAATCTGCCAAATGCAAGAGAACACACGATGATTGCGGAGGTAGCGGAAGTTATACAACTTGACATGAATGACATAGAACAATTCATTGCATGAAGTAGGGACCTCTTGATTGGGTAAATAAAAAAAGAGGAAAATAAATAAACAAAGTTAAATCTCATCTTTAAACGGAAAAAAAAGGTACAATTTTAGGAAACTTTTTGAAATCATCTGATTTCACGACTGTGACACTGACAAGGACTGAATGGACTAATCAGAAAAGAATGTTTTAAAATAGATTAGGAAAGTGGTTGCCATCTTTCCCCCATGAAAACAACATTTGAAGGAGAAAGAGCGAAAGAGAGATAGATGAGGACTCCCTCAACTCTAAACTATACAGTTTCTTTGAAGATGGTCACTTGGAGACCTGAAGGATTAACTTACAATGTCTGACGATGATCGCCACCTGCGCAGCTGCACATGCATTGTTGAGGGGCAGAAGGGAGTGTTAGCAAAACTCCCACAACAGGAAGGGGAGCAACAACTCACGTCGTCTTGCTGATTTATTACTGCGAATTAGAAATGGCGACGAGTTCGTTTGCTGCGCCGAAGCATACACATGCATTTGTCTCTGCTTCGTGTGTCTATCCCGCGACAGTCACATTTCATTCGCCATCCCTCGGGGCCAACCCCACTGCCGCCGTCATCAACACCATCGGTTTAGTCTTACGACTTTGTACAACTTTTGTATTCTCGCATACCCTGCGGCAGCCAAGCAACTCCTTGCCAGGTTTGAGAAAGGATCGAAAAGATGAGGAGGAGGAGGAGGAGGAGGAGGAGGAGGAGGAGGAGGCGTTGGAAGGGCTGCTTTGAATCAATGCTCTACTGTTCCACCCAATCTACTTTGAGGTGTACCTCTTTTGACTGCTGCAAAACCTTTGGCTTCGATTAAAAGAACTTTTCAAGAACGTAGCCCCCAAAGTGCGCCGGCAGAGGTGGTCGCAAGAATTGCAACAAGTACCCCCACATCCACCCGCTCACCCGCTCTCACAACATGAGTCTTCTTCGGTAAAGAATAACTTCAACACTTAAAACGACCTCACTTTTGATTCACGCAAAGAGGAGTTAGGTCTGGGGCATACCCAAACACCTCCATGTCAGTTGCAGCAATCATTTTTTGTCAAATGGGTATCCACATTTTGCAAGCTATGGCTTGATTGCAAATTTGACTTGCAAAAATGAATTTCCTTAAATGTAATACAAATGCACTATTGACAAGTTTTTTGTTTAAAATGTTTTTTGGATAAAATGCAGAATGGTCTCTGGTGGAAAAAGGGCAACCTAAGAGGAGGGTGTAAACTGCTTTTGCGATGACAAAACACTGGAAATTTAGCTTAACTACACATTCTTTGTGCGTTGCTCCCCGCAGTCGGATGAATGTTGGGTGCTTTTCGGTAAATTTTGTGATTTATATTATTTGGTTAAAATTGGCCTTGTTCGATGGCTCAAGACAAATTACCGCATGCCCACTTGGCATCCACTGAGCCATGTGCCCAGATCTCGTCAAAAAAGCCCCAACAAGATGAACAGGTGTGTGAAAAATGGTAAACGATAGGAAAAAACTTCTACTGCTTAGCGGAACCTTCTTTTTGACTGCGACACTTTTCCCACCACATCAAATTTTTTGTCATCCTTTTGCCAATCCTCCAGCTCCGCATACAAAACCGTAAGGTGAAAGTGTACACCGTAACTTGAAATTGAAATCGCAGAAAGCGATTCTACAAGTTGAAATGACTGGTCTTGCGAAGGATAAGTATTTCAAAGATTTCACCACCTAGCAGTTTTGAAAATAGCCACCTTCTGAGGTGACACACGGTGAAACCTTCTTGTCAAGTGTGTAAAATCCACATAGGCTTTTAATATCAATTCGAGTGCTCCTCTATTGTGACAAATGAAGAGGGCCAATTTTTACACTTCCTGCCTATTTACTTATTTTGGGATCATGAAAAGCAGTAAAGCAGGCCAACTCACAGTCGTCTCTTTCAAGTTTCCATGCCATTCCATCCAACTTGCATGCTTGACCGCACCGATTTTGGTGCGTCTCCTTTGGCGCCTCTCAGGGGAGTGCTCTTTGCCACTACTTGCCACACATTTCGACGATTTGCCACCACCTGTTGAACTGCCGAGCCCGCTGCTTCCGTTGGTTGTCCTCTGCAAATGGATGGTATTAGTCGGTGGGTCAGTTGGGCCACAAGCCAAGAGAAAGTGACCTAACACCAGTAATTGATGAAAACTGCCTGAGAACTAAGTAGTCATGAGCAAAGTACTCACCGTTGTAGGTTCTGTTGAGGCCCTGCACTCGGAGCTGCTGCTGTCGGGGTTGTGCTGAACGCCCTCATCCTCCTCAACCGGCGCAAGACTTTCATCTCCACTGGTCTAAGAGACATGGCGGTGGGGGGGGGGGAGGGTTGAGAGGGGGATAGGTAAGCTCACAATAGTGAATAATTACCACTAGCGCTATGTAAGGGCTACCCCAGCACTCTTCTTTCCCACTTTGTCTGAATATTAAGAAAGACATCTAAAAATGTTTCTCCGAAGAATAGACGCACAAGACTACACGAATCCCAGCGTTAATTACATGAGATACGATGCAGTCATCGCATTTAAGCTAAAAGCCAAAATCCCCCATTTTGACTAGCCGGAAGGAGCCTCTACTACTACCACTGTGGAGTGCTGTGCCATTCACTTACTTACCTCAATCTCCTGCGATTCGTTTTTCAATGCGCCATTCACTGCCAGCGTCATGATGCTCGCGAATGCGTATTCAACTGTGCCCTCGTCTACGCTCGTCGTCGTTAAGGTGTCTTTTCCTCATCTGTGTGTTTGTGCTCTCGCGTGTGTGTATGTGCGACTAA